GAAGAGAGAGAGGAGAGAGAGGAGAGAGAGAGAGAGAGAGAGAGAGAGAGAGAGAGAGAGAGAGAGGAGGAGAGAGAGAGAGAGAGAGAGAGAGAGAGAGAGAGAGAGAGAGAGAGAGAGAGAGAGAGAGAGAGAGAGAGAGAGAGAGAGAGAGAGAAGAGAGAGAAGAGAGAGAGAGAAGAGAGAAGAGAGAGAGAGAGAGAGAGAGAGAGAGAGAGAGAGAGAAGAGAGAGAGAGAGAGAGAGGAGAGAGAGAGAGAGAGAGAGAGAGAGAGAGAGAGAGAAGAGAGAGAGAGAAGAGAGAGAGAGAAGAGAGAGAGAGAGAGAGAGAGAGAGAGAGAGAGAGAGAGAGAGAGAGAGAGAGAGAGAGAGAGAGAGAGAGAGTGAGAGAGAGAGAGGAGAGAGAGAGAGAGAGAGAGAGAGAGAGAGAGAGAGAGAGAGAGAGAGAGTGAGAGAGAGAGAGAGAGAGAGAGTGAGTGAGTGAGTGAGTGAGTGAGAGAGAATGAGAAAGAGAGGGAGAGAGAGTGAGAGAGAGAAGGAGAGATAAAGAGAAGGAGGGAGAAAAAAAGGGGAGATGGGATCGTGCGTTTCATGGTCAATTGATTATGTTAGTTAACAGAATGAACTCTGATCTAAAAAATTGCGGCTGCAAATACTTGGCTGCCATCAAATAAATGCATTTAAATATATCAATTCCTTGACGTAATGACAGACTAGACTACGATCACTGCTACCCAGTTTAGACGCCACACTATTTTTGTGGATTTGCGCATAAATGTACCTCGCTGAACGTTGTGGCATGCTTGGCACATCCGTAGTGTCCTGGTCTGTGCCTGTGGTTAGCGTTTTCGTGTGCTATAGTATTTCCGGATCGCTGTTATTTCAAAGCATTGATTGGACCCACTTAATGACTTTGAAAAGCCACATGATCCCATTCACCTCTGGGCTGGAAACGATTGCATACTGGGTCCATATCGGTCGAAGCGATCTTCATAACTCGCGAGGAAAACGTTAACACCACTCAACGCCGTTTACTACCCAGATGTGCGGCCTGGCACAGCTAGTACGTCGCAATGACTTGACGGATAGGCATCTTGAATTGCATGCAGCTGATGCTTAACCGAGACTGGATATATGAAAAACATCACTTTGCAATATCAATATACTTACACATGCGGTAATTGTTTACATTGTCGGAGGGTGTTGTTAGGCATATCCTTGACTATCGTGAAACACGGTTTGACCAATGAACCTGTTAGGAACCTCGTTGTCTTGTTTGTCAAAACCCCGTGGCCATATGGCAACAACATTGCAGTGGTGCCACGCAACTGGACGTACTCTATTATTACATTGAGTGCAGTGGCATTCTATTGAGTGAGAACCCGGCTGGCCGATATTATTGTCCCCCCTTGCAAGGAAGGAATAATATATTTTATTGGAAAAAATTATTGTTTGAACGTTAGCACCATAACCAGCCAACGGACCAGCCCACCAATATGATTGCTTCTCACCGTGGGTGATGGTGCAAACAATGAGTTAGTTTCCATGCATCTGAGAAACGGAATATGTCGTGCCATTTTGTTTTAACTCAGCCTTGTCCACGGCTTTTCACGGATGAAATAGAGCCGGTGCTAAGATGTTAAAGGCCTTTATCAATATCAGCTTAATGCTCTCATCATCACGGAACGTTACGAGTAATGGGCACGCGCGGACGTTGCCAGCTGCTTTGTCAACAAGAATGGCTGGGCTGGCCGGGGTAGGCTCGTCCGTCCTTGCTTTTTTCTACACATCCATCACTGATAACAGGGAACTAGGGTGTCCAGCTGTGTCCACTGCCGCACAAAAAACCGTCTATTGTTACGACAAAATTAGGAGCTGGATATTGCAAAGCCCTCTCTCGTCTCTGCTTAGCAATGGGGAGAGCTATGAAGCAAACAAAGCAAGGACAACACATATTGGAGGTAGCTGCAGTTGAGCGGTATTCACAGGAAAATATAGATGTAAGCCAAGGAACAGCATTCAGGGACTTAGCAAGCTTGTTGTTTTCAGCGCGTACCAGAGGGCCGATATTCTGAGTGAACGAGAAAAAAAAATGTATAGCCAGGCAATATAATATATATATATATATATATATATATATAATATATATATATATATATAATTCACTGGCACGCTCGATGCTCAAGACTCATTTACTCAAAATACCGATACAAGACCCACCGAGACCGATACTAAGACCCACACCTACACAAAAACACCCCTACCCTGACACCCTCATCCATATACCTTAAATATACCCATATACCTTGACACCCTCAATCCATATACCGCATGCGAAACACATGTCCATAAACAGACACGCCCATGTGCCCATAGCCCACATGAAGTTATACCCACTGACCAATATGAAATTATGCCCGCGGGCGATATGTAGTTTTGGAAGCTTTCTACCTCTTGCCGTGATGGCATGTTTGAGCTGTTTGGAGCGGAAGGATAATTGTGCACGGATTTCACTTGCCTACACAATGCAGCTGACAATCACATTATGAAATGTATCGCTAAAAGATCAACCAATAGTGAATGTCTGTGTAACGCATCGTTCGTTGTTGATCGTTGCTGATGTACCTTTCTGCGACGCGTGCTTGAGGGACCCGCTGACTGGGAGACGGACTCAGGAAAGCCGCTGGATCGGGGGACGGACTCAGGAAAGCCGCTGGATTGGGGGACGGGCTGGATTGGGGACAGGAAGCCGCTGGAGCTTGTGCGCACCACGCTGTCACCGCGGGGTTATACAGCGGTTACTGCAGCACGGTGTCTGGCAGCGTTAATGTCCAGATCTACATTTTTTTACGTTTACTGCCCCATTCAGATGCAAGTGGCCCTTGTTGCTGAACACTAAGCGGTTCTGAACCCTTGATCAGTCTGAGCCATCGTTTTCAGCAGATGGCAAATGTCAGCAGCTGATATTTGTCGGCTTCGGCCAGGTTCTGATTGATGGTCACATGACTGGGATTAAGTTGGGGCCTATTTTCCAGAGTCCTCCTTGCCGTTGTATGACGTGTGGCTGCCTTCCGGACTATCTTTTGGATTTTGATGATGGCAGACCTGACCTTTGCCATGTTCACTGCTGTCCTTTCTTACTGCATCTTCTTTTCGTTCTTTTTAGTTTTCTGCTTTTCGCCTTCGTTTCATCTTGGTTCAGCGTTGGGCCGTCTTTCAGAAACTTTTCATGCATGTTTAAAACTTGCATTTGCACAAGAAGCGTGCTGAATGTTAAAAATGAACTCTCTACTGCCTTTGAGAGGCGACGTTGGATTTCGTTTACCAATGCAAAGTAACAGCTTTTGCCTTTCGCTCTGTGCTGAGCAGCAGCACGACTCCAAGTGAAGTTAGGGCACATTATCTAAGTAAAACTTAAGAGTACGGGCTCTTGAATGAAACGAAAAATCGCCGGCTTGTGTGGTACTCGACTCCACGATACACACATGGTCAGGACGTATTTGTGTTGATAGCCGGTACATTTTGAGGCACAGGCTTCCGAATATTTCGGTTGGTTTAGTATGTGGCGCCACTACTCTCAGAGTGATCAGTATCGATGGTAGACCGCATCTTCTACCAGTATCGGTAATAGGCCGCACCAGGTAGGCGAGATGACCAGTATCGGTGGTAGACCGCACCAGGTAGGCGAGATGATCAGCATCGATGGTAGACCGCACGAGGTAGGTGATGTCTTCGTATCGGTGGTAGGCCGCATCTTCTACCAGTGTCGGCAATAGATCGCACCAGGTAGGCGAGAGTGACCAGTATCGGTGGTAGACCGCACGAGGTAGGTAATGTCTTCGTATCGGTGGTAGATCGCATCTTCTACCAGTATCGGTAGTAGACCACACCAGGCAGGGCGAGATGACCAGTATCGGTGGTAGACCGCACGAGGTGGGCGGCCCACATGGAGGATGGGATATACACCGAGATCAGTGATGGTGTATCACGCCATTCAGTGATATGTGATGTGAAGAGGCGATGAAGGCTGATCGCGAATGGTTACAAATTTATTGCCTGCGATATGTCCATTGTGTTAGACAATGAATGCGTAATGGAAAGCGGTAATGGGGGAACACTTGGAGAAAATGCAAACTGAGAGCGATAACTAAACAGTTGACCAAAGAACTTCAACTGTCGTTAAACAGTTCTCTACTAACCATCTTCAAGACACTGTTTGCGATGCATTTAGAATATCACATTTTGGGAAAGGGATTCTATCATTCCATAGGTCTATGCGAAGCAAATATTATATAACAACCTTAAAATCACGGTCGGAAAATTTGGGATGGACATGTTTAAGCAGCCTGGGGCCAGAGCAATGTTTGCAGGGCTTTGTGCACAACATTTAAGCAGCTTATGTGAGTTTCTTTCTTCCCTTTAACTTACCAACCAAACTTTAACAGTCCATATTTACTGGTTGCAGTGCTATGCTTTACTGAAGAAGTGGCCGAATAGATGTGCATATGTGCCGTAAAGCACCTGTAAACTTATGCTTTGAAACACAACTAAGTGTTTTCCCTACCACGAAATCTGAAGCCGTAAATTATATCCGCTTCGTAAATGCGGTCATAAACATATTCTGTTTTTTTGTCGTGGACCGAATCAATTAAACTTGTTGGTTGGACGAAGACCGGCTGGAATCTGCGACCACAAGGCCCATGATAGGGGTTGAACAATCCGATCCACCGTTTTCCCTTTACCGGCGGTACAATGCGGACAAGAAAGCCTCGGGGCGCATCCCGCATGCTATGCAAAGTCGAAAACCCGCTAATTTGCATTCCTATCAAACTCCATGCTGTTTGATGGCCTCGGCGGCGAGACCCGAAATCTGACCTCTTCAACTTGGGCGTCACGCTGGTGTCCAACACCTTCACTGTATGTGAAACTGGCTTAGAAGGAGCGCTTGGAGACATGGGTAATGTGTTAGCCGCCTGGTCCTGAAGCTGTCCGGCTCATTCCATGTAGTAGATTTTGCTAAAAGTGGCATCATCCACTAGCTTGCCTCGCCTGCTTTCACCGATCCACTTGCCATTATCTTGTTAGTATAACAGCATGACATAACTTTCTCTCGGTTGTCTTTTTGGTTTTATGCTCTTAGTTACATCTATATTTGGGCATGCAAATATATATATATATATATATATATATATATATGTATATGTATATATATATATATACACATACATATCAACTCAACCGTATGCATGTATATATATGTGTATATATATATATATATATATATATATATATATATATATATATATATATAAATATACTTACGGTTGAGTTGAATTCCACACAAGCCGGCGAATTTTTAGTGCATTCGAAAAGTCAGTGCTCTAAATTTTTTTTAGATAATATGCCCTTACTTCACTTGAGGTCGTGCTGCTGCTCAGCATAGAGCGAAAGGGCAAAAGTTGTTACTTTGCATTGATAAGCAAAATCCGACATCGCATCCCAAACGCAGTTGAGGCTTCATTTTGCACATTCAGCACACTTCCTGTGCAAATGCAAGTTTAAACATGCCTGAAAAAGTTTCTGAGAGAACGGGCCTACGCTGAACCCAAAACGAAACGCAGCGAAGAGGCAGAAAAAACGGAAGGAAGAAGAGGATGCAATAAGGAAGGACAGCAGTGGGTATGGCATAGGCCAGGTTAGCCATCACCAAGCACCCATCAAAATCCAAAGAGATAATCCAGAAGGCAGACACCCGTCATACAACGGCAAGGAGGATTGGAAAACAGCCCCATACTTCATCCCAATAAAGTGACCATCAGTCAGAACCTGGCAGAAACCGGATAAATAACAGCATGCTGAAATTTGCCATCTGGCTGAAAACAAAGACTCAGACCGATTAAGTGTTTCCAAACCGCATAGGGGGCTCAGCAACAAGGAGCACTATATTTGCGTAAATCACATAGCATAACTCCCACAGGGCAACAAGGTCAATCACTTTTTTTTGCGCAGTGTGCTGTTTGTTTTACGACTTTCAGATTAAAAGGTTTGGTTTCAGTGGCTCAGTTGGTAACATCACGTGTCTGTTGTGGACATGCAAGGCATTCTAGCTCTACCGGTCAAAATATTTTTAACCGGTTCCAAAAAAAGATATTGCTTATTGTTTGCAAGCGGATGATTCGCGCCGCCTGCATAATGCAGCGGGCATCCTCTTGACAGCTTCCTGTAAAAAAATTTGGGCGTAGCAATTCGTTATGCAGATTTAAAAAGTGTTTATTATGGAGACGTCTGAGCCACGCTTCTTCCAATTACAGGCTGCCAAATACATGGTGAAAACGTATCCCCGCACATACAGGGCATCCAGTCGATTTCTAACACAATAATGAATTCTATTAAACTTTATTATTTCGTTTCTTCTCTGCTACCCAGCTCCAGCAAATCGAGTCTGGTGGAAGGGATGGAAGCGAAAGGACCCGTCCTGAGAAACGCTACTGCTGGCCTCTGTTCGGCCTCATAATGCAATGTGTTGCAATAGACAAGCCACGGAAAAGTAAATTTGGTCATGTTGTGAAGCGAACCGCATTGGCACATACGCATGCAAGGACCTTACACATATACTACATAGTTACAATAAGCCAGGTGTCCACCCATGATTTGTGTTTCTTTTCAAAATACATTACATGGATGCACGCACCGTGATGAGGAGTGTTATGTGAATACGTAGGCCTCAAGCACGGCCTTAGATCGCTGCCTCCGTCCGTCTGCCTCTGTTTCCCGGATTCGTTCTTCAGATGTCCGCGCTTCTTCCCGCCTTTTCCGTATTCCTTATTTGTAGCAGACAGCATTTATTTTTGAGGGGATGCGAGCATTGCTCCAGATCACATTTTTTTTCAGGCCAGGCACTTGTGCAGTCTCACTGTGCTCCAGATCACTAGTGTTGTGTTTTCACATGTTCTACACTGAATATGTCGGCCGCAGATGGCCCGTCAAGGCATGCATGTCGGCGCTCTTTGCCGTTGGCCACACTGTACCGCAGGCTTCTGACGGTGTTCGGTTACCTGACGTTTGAGCCACCGCTGCGTACCGGCAGGTTTCTGATGGTGTTTTGTTGGCCTGACGCTGAACCACGCGTGTACCGGCAGGTTTTCTGATGGGTTTTCTGTTACCTGACGAGCCACACTGTGGGCCGGCAGGTTTCTGATGGTGTTCTGTTGCCTGACGCTGAACCATGCTGTGTACCAGCAGGTTTTCTGATGGTGTTCGGTTACCTGACGTTGAGCCACGCTGTGTACCGGCAGGTTTCTGACGATGTTCTGCTGCCTTCATTGGGCCACGCTCGTGCCGGCAGGCTTCTGATGGTGTTCTCCTGCCTGCCATCGAGCCACGTTCGTGCCGGCAGGCTTCTCATTATGTTTGGCTGCCTGACGCTGAGCTACACCGTTGTGCCGGCAGGTTTCTGATGGTGTTCGGTTACCTGACGCTGAGCTACACCGTGTGCCGGCAGGTTTCTGATGGTGTTCGGCTGCCTGACGCTGAGCGTTCTCTCCACAATACGGGAGTACGAGTATGACGCCGGCATCATTCTCTTCTACTGCGAGTCGGTGGTGGGTCGTGTGGTTCATCATGGAGTTTGTGCTAAGGTAAGAGGAACGGCCGGGATGTTTCCTTTGGGATGACCAGTGACGCCCCAGGGGCGTCATTCCTTGTCGGAAGGGTGTCATCTTAAAGGTTCTTTTTAGAGCCGGTTGCCTGGCGGCTGCTGAGCACACCTCCGAGTGCTGTAGACCTAAAAAAGGTTACCGAATTTGAGCTCGCTGCTTAATTGTACAGGGAAGAAATCTGTCGCAACAGCTTTTTGCGACAATTCATCGCTGGTAGACAGAAGTGTAGCTCACCAACTCTTGTGTGGGCGCCAGCGCTGAGTTAAACTACGCGGACTGAGAAACCAACGCAGGGTTCAGTGCGAGGTTCAATTCCCACGGTGCCCGACCTTTCTATCAGAGTGGGAGGCAATGAACGCTAGGATAGCGACTGAGATGAGTCTTAAAGCCCCAATGTCCAATAATTCTCCCCACTGCCACCGTTTAGCCACAAACGGCACATAATTCACGCTGATGCTAAACAAGTTTAGGCTCTGGATGTTGCATTGCCAAAAACAAAAGTACAGAATCATAAAAATACTTTGCAGTGGCCACACAGCAGGGACAAACAGCAGCATACAACGTTAAGCGTAAGTTAACTGTATCTTTAACGAATTAAGTTTGCGCGATATCTCGACCGAGGCAGTTTACCGCTCTCGAGGCATGTGAGAACTACACTTGCGTTGTCTCGAAACAGGAAATAGTTCGCAAAGAAGTTTGGCCTGCCGCCATGAACATTTCTTTGCCAGTAATGACGTCGGCCTGACACTTCTGGAGGTTCTCGACCCAGGCACTAATGCTTGTGCTAAACTCACTAAAATGCTTAGAGTGCTATGTTATTTTTTCGCTTTTGGGACGGCAGTTAAATAATCCAGATAAAACGTTTCAACATTACTTTTCGGGGCTTGTTCAGAATGGAATAGCGTCTCAACAAATTCTCCAACCAACATCAGCATAAGTCGGAGAACGGACTCCTGGTCGGGAGCGCGCTCGGGTAGCGTGCAGTTATCCGTCTCGCTGCAGTGATCAGAGACGTGGAGATTGTAAATCGAAGTGACCGTAGTGTCGCAGGGCTGGCCAACACAGAACAGTGAGCAGAAGCGACCACAACATGGCGCAGCGGACAACCGCGAACAAGCAGATCGCCAACCAGAAAATCGTGGCTTGTTTTTTTCACAAGACACCAAAATGGTCTGTGTGAAAGAAGTGACCGATTCCATCAAGTCCCATGCAACTAATGAAGGTCCAACTGGAAGCCGCCAGACACCGCGAATAAGCCGCAAATATGCGTGAAGAGCCTGCCAGCCCACGCACAGAAAAGCTGACGACGCTACTGGAGACACTGAGGTCCCTCCAGTCAGCTTCTACCAGTCCCGCCATCGAGACGTCACCGTGTCAGCAAGCACAGCAGTACCAGCAATAGCTACTCGTGCGCCACGTCTTCCGCATCGGCTGCGTCTGTTCCGGTGCTGTGCGTGACGGCAAGTCTCAGGGAACTCGCCACTTGGGAGCGGAAAGGGAAGACCACCTGCTGCTTACCGGAATATCTGCGCTGACCAGAGGAAAGCAGCAGGCAGCTTTTCATCCAGTGCTTGACTCCGAATGGTTTCGTATTATACAACACGGCCTTGATTTGGAGAGTGGAAGTAGTTAAGACATCTCTCTGTGACCATCGAGAAAATAGAGCTGGATCTGAGGCGCCGAAGGAGCATCATCTATGACAGAAGCGAATTCTTCACAAGAATACAGGGACCACAACACATTTTCGATGATTTCTTCATCAGTCTCAAAGGAACCACTATTTCTGGGATTCCTGGAGCATTCATGAAGCTGTCCGCGCATGATTACGAACGGCTTTGTGGGCTATCCAAACACCGTTGATGCAAGCCTGGTTCGTCGGCCATAAGCAGCAAATCCGAGGCACACCCAAATGTGTGCTGATATGTTCGTTGCATCTGCCTTTGTTATGACAGAAGCCTTGCGGGTGCCACCTGAACAATGATGAATGTTACAGCTTGAGCGGCCCGGCCCGGCCCCGGACCACCAGGCCCATCCGTCACGCTTTCTGGAAGATTATCTTTTTGCGGCCACCGGTCTCCAGTGACAGGTAGAGAAATCCTTTGACAGATGTGTGGTATGCATGCTGCTTAAAGCATTTGCAGACCAACTGTTCGATCAAAGTTTATTTGAATCGGATGGGCGATAGCCTAGTTTTGCAAGACGTTAACTTAAGATATAAAATTTGTTGCTTATGGAAGGGATGCTCGAGGCATCGAATTCAGACCGCTGCTTTGGTGAATGACGGTGTGCACCCGGAGTTGATCGCCGTCTGACGGAGAGAGAGACAGAGAGAGAGAGAGAGAGAGAAGAGAGAGAGAGAGAGAGAGAGAGAGAGAGAGAGATAGAGAGAGAGAGAGAGAGAGAGAGAGAGAGCGAGAGAGAGAGAGAGAGAGAGAGAGAGAGAGAGAGAGAGAGAGAGAGAGGAGAGAGAGAGAGAGAGAGAAGAGAAGAGAGAGAGGAGAGAGAAAGAGAGAGAGAGAGAGAGAGAGAGAGGAGAGAGAGAGAAAGAGAGAAGGAGGAGAGAGAGAGAGAGAAGAGAGAGAGAGAGAGAAGATAGAGATATAGCGAAATACAATAGAGGAGGAGAGGAAGATAGGAAGAGATAGAGGTGGAGGCAGGAAGATAGAGAAGACGAGGAGAGAGAGAGAGAGAGAGCAGCCGCACTGGTAAAGTTCGGCCGAATGAGCAGTCTGTCACGTGTATTCGAGCGGAAACCTTGGCTCAAGCAACTCTTTGGACGCCTGCTAAAATAAATGTCAGGTTCCGGCCACCAGGCCAACTAGACGGAAACGGACGAGATACGTTGCGTAGGCCAATGCACCGTATACAAAACCGTCAGACGGTTTCAGCGCCATTGGACTTTTGGCGAAGCCAGTAACCACTGAAGTTGCCAATGGAAGGAATTCACCATGGCCTAAGCCGGTAGAGGTCGCTTCAAAGCAATGCACTTGAGTGAAGCCCAGTTCGTTAGGACAAACAGCTAACCCCGATGGAAAAATTAGTCGGACCTTTGTCTTCACGTCCTTTGTGCATTGTAGTTTGCAAAGCGCTCCATTCAGTCACTTCTCAAATTTTCAAGAAATATGCCTGAATTGGCTACAAAAAAACTCCACATCAGTGAAGCTAACCCCCGTGCTGAGCTCTCTCCCATGAAAGACGAACACTGCAAAACACGCGCGACCTATAGTGCGGTCCTCAAAGATTGCTGATCCCATCCGCTAATGGCTCGCTACAGCTCATTGCATATCTTCCCACATTTGTAATAATCGCACTTTTCTCGCACGTCGTGCGGGCAACCTGCCTGCGTCGTCATGCTCATGACAAACGGCGCCGTGACGTCCCGAGGGCGAGGCCGCTCCGAAGGTTGTCATCGATTCCAACGCCACTGGTTCGCTTAGTAGCGGCAAAATATTTTCGAGGCGGCTTCCTCGACAGCTGAAGCCGTTCTCGATCATCAATAAGCTTAATCTAAGCTGAAAGGAGGGCCTGAAAGCCAGTTGTGTGGAGGCGTGAGCGCTGACAAATACTTTGTTTGAAACGGCCAGTATGGCCCGTGTCAGATAAAGATTGGCTTGCAGCTGTTATAATATTAAAGATTGGGGTTTTACGTCTCACCAACTGCCACGGCCGTTTCGAGACGGATGCCTTATTAGGCATCATGTGCGATGCGGTGGTTTGCGTAGCACGGGCTTCAGCCAAAAATTGACAGGTCTAGAAACCGAGCGTCCTAATCATGTGCGGTGCAGTGGTTCATGGCACGACGGGCTGAACCAAAAATCGACAGATTCAGAGCCAAGCTCCTAATCGCTATGCCCCCCCCCCCCCCCCTGCACTTCTGGTTAAGGATTGTGGTGCCTCAGCAAACTTTTTATACTAGAATATCTTCTACGCGGGACGGAGTAATCTTCATCCATCCATCAATGATGGCTTAGCCACGTGGACACCATCCCCGAATGCATGTGTTTGCGAGGACGCGCCTGAGACAGCCCAGGCCTCGAACGATGATCTGACTGGCACTCGGCCTCCCGCCGCTCCTGACAAGACGACGCGGCGCCCGTGCCTTCCGTGCGCACTCGATCGAGAATGCGTGGTATCGGTTCAGATTTCGCCGTCAGGACCGGTCCAGACCTGTCGCTCCGTCTGCCCCGTGAGTAGGCGGCTGCTGAGGCGAACGGCTGTGCTGGCGACGCGGCACCGTGTGCAGCCGGCCGAGAGGACCCGGCTCGCGGCTCACTCGACCCAGGCGCTGCGGTGCCGGCGGTGAACCGGGGCGCGGGCGCCGGCGGTGTGCCGGGGCGCGGGGGCCGGCGGCCGCTCCCATGCCTCGGCCGCGCATAATCGCGTCTAATCGCAGCGCCTCTCCTCTCGACCCTGCTTCATATCCGGCCGGCTATTTTCGGCCCGGCGACAGGCGCTGCCGACGCCGCTAACACGGAAATCTGGCCGGCGAGGTCCGACAGATCGGCTCCGACAGCGCGGCGTGCGGCTCGAGAGCGCCGCCGGACATCCGCGTAGGGACTGCACGTTCACGCCTCATTATGTCGGCCGCCTAACGACTGTGAGAACGCCACTCGAGCCGTTATTGAGCCGCCGTTTCAGACAGATGATTTCACTCAGGGATTGTCGTCGTCCGGCTCCGGGGAATAAATCGGCCATCATCGCCGAGCGCAGTCACGCAACGCGCCGCGCCGCGCCGGCTCGGGCCGCCCCCGCTCCGCTGTAGCTGGGCCAGGTCGACTCAGGGGGCGCACTGACCGGTTGACCTGCCCGGCCGCGTTCAATCTCGTCGTGAATCCTCCGCCGGCTCGCTCCGTCGGGCCACACCCCCGTGCGCTCGCCGGCGGCGTTGGGTCGAGTTTCTCCGCGCGTGTTTTCCTGCTGTCACTCTCGTGCAGTCGGTTTTG